ATGCGATGCTTGCAATGTCTCTCAAACTCTTCTTCGCAGGCATCAGTGCACCCACGCAAGGAAGTAGAATTCAGTGGGTAGGGCATATTGCTCGCCTTGCCGGCAACCGGTGGATTTCACATATTAATGAGCGTATTTGTGAGGAAGCAGTCGACCGCTCGCGTGGTTCCCAAAAGGTGGCACAGGATGAAGGCGTGAAGCCCAAAATCGAAGAACTTGGTATAGCTGCGTCCGACCTGTGCGAACAAGCCAGAAAAATCATTCACATGGGGTCCCCATATCCACCATCAGAGTGATTCTCGGCATTTTTGATTTTATTTAATTTGGCATTCCCATCAATTCAAATTAAAACTGTACGATTTCCAAACAGCTGCGGAGTACCAGCTCTCAATTCTCATTTTAACAGAGGTTTGAATTTAACATGTTCGTGCCTGCCACACTTCTTTGCCGAAACAACGAAGAGGCACTTGAATTTCGAACAACTGCTAACTTCTGGCTTATGGCAAGCAATCGCTGACAAAGCCACTGAACAGAAAAAGCAATCAGTGGAAACACACACACACACACACAGAGCAGCAGCAGCAATGCATGAGCTCTCAAAAGGCACTGACCGACGGCAGCCATCCATTTTGCAGATCAGCTGTTTCACCTTGTATGAAGTAATCTTTTCGTACAATTTCTTCAGCAACTGGAAGTCTGATGTCACAGATGCAGTACCACATCTGGCGTACACGAGGCAGTTCACCTGCAAGCGAAAAATCTCCACTGTTTCACTCTGAGCAAAATTCTGTAGAACAAGCAATGTCTGCGGTGTAAAAACATGCAAGCAAGTTACCCGGCGTATAAATGTAATCGATGTGTTCCTCCGAAACGCCAGCACACGATGACTGAAGCGGTGGTGCTACCGATGTCGAGCTCGCAACTGACGGGTGGCCGGGTCGCTCACTATTTTTCTGTAACTGTTTAAATTTTGCCCAGAACGAGAGCTTCTTCTGTGCTAGCACAGCATGGAAGTTGGAAAAAATGACAAATGCTCAATAGCCCCCGCAGCACAAGAAAGCCAGGCATCAGACGCACTGTTTCTCCATTGCACGTAAGAGTTGGAATAATTTTTTTGCACGCATAGCAAAAGCTGCAAAGCATTTCGGCACTAATCTTGATGCTAATGCGAGAATTTTTCAAGGGCAACATTGCAGCGAAACAAATAGCAAGCTGGAGCAAGCCACATGCATTTCTATCAGAAGAACAACTAGTCACGCCTTACAGAACCATGTGCGCCAGAAACTTCATCCAACCATTTTTCAAAGACCTCAATAAGTCAAACTGAAGGCAGTGACGTCCCAAGAGCAGCA